TGTTCGAACCGTTTTAAATTCGAATTTGTTATTTCGTATTCGTATTGTATGCGTTTTAGTAGGGTATGCCATGAGAATGGACACTAAGAAGGGATTTTTCTAAATTCTCCCGCGGGGGGAGAGGGAGAGGATTAAGCTTAACCGGAAGAATGGCTTCTACTGTACTATTTTAGATGCGATTTTTTGTTTTCAACTACGTTTAGTCTTCATCGAGTACTTAGGTGTATTAAATTGATCACATTTCAGACATTGTTTAAATATTTTTATATATTTCAATTTTAAAAATGTTCGAACCGTTTTAAATTCGAATTTGTTATTGCATATTGATACGATTATAGAACGATGGTAAACGTTCCAGAAAATTAATCAAATTGAAAATAGTTTGTTTGATTCTCAGCAATTTTCATCATTCTCGGCGGTTGGTGTTATATAACAATTACTATGGTTGTTGAAATACTGAATGTAAATGGGATTTGCTTGCAAAACCTCCGCGGGCGAAGTCGCGGGTAACAGCTAGTATATACATAAAAATGGACGTGTTTGTGCCTATATTTCACTCTGCAGCCAAAACTACACATCACACATGAATGCTGTTTGTGTGTGGAGTAGTCCCAAGTCTCTCATCGTGCAGTATGGTGGTTTCGTCTCGATAGCTATAAGGGTATGGGAGATATGGGGTTGAAAGTGGTTAACTTCGAAAATGTGTAACAATGGAAGTGTCAATAATGGAAGTGTTAACAATGGAAGTGGTTAAGAACAATTGAAGTGTTTAGAGAAAGCGATATGCAAGATTTACAGGCGCAGATGAAGTTTTTTGCGTTTCTGCGAGAAATCAAACATATTTTTAGACCCATCTAGAAATTTTCTAATTTTCTGGAAACGGCAAACTAACTTTTGCATTCTGAGAAAACGGGTAAGATTGGCTATAACCTAATAATCTTAATCTTCGCTATGGTTACTTTTTGCCCGAGCAAAAAGTAATTATAGCGAACCCGAGCGGCTAGTTTATTTATAAAACTAGCTGCTCGGGTATAGCTGCTCGGCTATAGTAAACCCGAGCAGCTAGTTTCTTTATAAAATAATCTATTGAAAAAAATCCATCATATATAACCTTCATTACAGTCACTATGGGCTTGGCGAAACATGGATGGACATAAAACGCATACAGACATTTAAAAACCCATACAGAAAACAGCATTGAAAAAAAAAACAAAAACATAAAACAGAGATTCTGTTTTCATTTGAAGACTTCTAATCGCCTTACAGCGATAGAGATCAACGTATTCTGATCGAAACTCTTAAGATAATTTTAGTCAACTTGCTTTCGATTACTGGGTGCTACTCCGTTACTATAAGAATTTCTGTACACAAAGCAAGCTGACATCGCTGTGTTACGTTATTCTTATTATATACAACGAATTTCATTTTTTGCTTATTTACGAGAATTGTTTTCAGGAACTTCATCAAATCTTGAATTTTCTTCATTCTAAACTAAAATGTATTTATTTTTATTTTTTGATTTTTTTCTGAAATTAATTTCAGCAAACAATAACACTTAAAAACTTAGTATTTTATGTCCATCATTATGTTACATTCGTTAATCTTAAATGATTCAAACTCGTTCACAGAATACAGATTTGCATGATACATGGTAAAGTTGGTAGATAAAAACGATTTCATATACAAGTGGAATCATTTTACAGTTTTTCGTTTAAAAGATTTCAGGTTCGTTGTAAAATTTAACACAGAATATTGTTTATTCAGCAACTTTTTTCCTCTGGGCAGGTTTTCAATTTATTCAGATTCTGTTATGGACAAATTTTAATATTTGATATCTCTATCCACAACAATATTAATAACTATATGTTAATATCTTCGAAGTAGTTCTCAATTAGTTTTGCAATTAGAAAATATGAAAAGAATAATTTTAAAATTGTTCCTTACCTGTATCCTTTTTAACGAAACCAAAATTTCTGCAACAAAACCCACTGCTTGAGAAAACAGACCAACAATGTTGCTATACATATACATTGAAAATGTCATTGTGACGAATATAATTTCGGCATTTAACTGTCCTCCATATAAAAAGAATGCGAGATATGCGAGGAGAGTAAATAATTTCGATGTAGGATATGACACGATATACGATATTCCGCTTGCATATAAAAACATTCGAATTTTATTCATTTCTTTCCTGCAAATAGAAACAATTAAATAATACAATTGCGGAGCTCCGAAAATAATTATCTAAAACACATTAGCGTATCGAAATGACAATAAAACCACTGTAAAAAGGAATCGGATGGTGTCAAATATTTTCTAAAGTTTGTGATTTATGCTCTGAATAGAATTTATTTTTTAAAACGAAAATACGTTTTTGAAAAATTTTCTCTGTTTAAGCAGTTATTCGTTCCGTTTTAGCCAGGTTTTACTGTATTTCAGTGCACTTACATTCTGATTTTTTCTAATAATGCGACATATGGCAATTCCCAGGTGTACATCTTGATTAACCTCATATCAGCAATCATTTCGTTCAACAGATTCAATCTTTCGTCTCCCAATACAGCTGCTTGTAATCTATTAATAAATTATATTTATATATATAAATATATACTCTTATTAAATGATATAAAATTAAATACTGGACTGATAATTTATATCTAAACACAATGTTACATTTAAGCGAATCCCTTTATTTTTCTAGCACTGAATATTATAAGAGTTTTGTTTATGCTATTTCAACAACTTTTTATACTAAACTCTACAGAAAAAAGCAAACACGATATGCAAATTCTTAGATAAAGCATGAATGTGTATGTTCTATTAAATAAATTCTTTTGTATAATTTCAGTGTGATAAGCAAATATCGAAACACGAGTACAGTACAATTGATTCTGTTTGAAATATCCAAATCAAATTATACTTAGAAATAGTGTTTTATACAGTCGACCCCCCTATAAAACCTAGATACGTTCCATTTTTTAGGAATCCAATTTCTTACGAGTCGTTCCAATCACAGCCCGACACGTGTAAAGTTTACGGACTACGGCTGATTGAAAGGTTTTCTTCCATAAAATTAATCGATTCTAGACTAATCCGACTCAACATTTCCAAAATACGTATATATTTTTTGGGAATAATCCGTATAAACTACGCTATAAACAAAAAATTGTAGGATTACTTACCGAGTGTCACCATTCGACATTGCCATTGCTCAACATTGTTTTCGTCGCGGAACAGCTCAGCAAAGAGCGGCCGATTTCTAACAACTTATTTTTCTGTGAAAACTTCGTAGAACTTCGGAGACATCATTAATATAAATAATTTTAATCGCCGTTGAATAAGAAATGTTTCTTTCACAAGAAATGTATAAAATTACAGTACTGTATTAGACTTACGGTACCTAATTTACATACTGACAGACGATAGTTAGCGTAAAAATCTCCGTAGCGTGGCGCCACGCTAGACGGCGGAAATTATATATTTAATTATAACAAAGTTACAATAAGTTAATATATAATTATATATACAGTACCTAATTTATATATAATTAATATATAATTATATGTACAGTACCTAATTTATATATAATTTATATAATACTGTCCAGACGATAGAAATCTCTCCGTAGCGTGGCGCTACGGACGGCAGGAAAGTAGTTCGGCTGCCCGATGACGTTTGAGGTGTTTATAGGGAACTTTTACTATTTTTTACGAATACCGGTAGCAATTTTTTCGCAGTTTTATAGGAATCGTAATTATAGGGACCATAATTATAGGGGGTCGACTGTACTGTGCTTTTATAATTCATTTACGAACATGACAGTAAAATTCTAAAATAGCCAGTTTGTACGCCATGTCCCAAAGAAGTCATTTCGATGATGGTCAGAGATGGCTGGCAAGCCTTGGATAGGATAGAATCCGGTCAAGCTATTAAAAAAACTGTTCAATTTTCCAGTCAGTCATTTTGTAATTTCATCCGTGTACCCAATTTCAAATTATCAGAATTGTGAGCAGAAGACTGGCTAGAGCCACTATCGAGTTATAACAGCTTTCGAGGACTGCTACTTAGTATTATTTGTCAGTTGCAACAGGGAGGCAACACACCTGTATTACGTGCAAGCCTGGTTGCATCTACAGGAAGGCCTAAAACTGTGACTACTGTAATAAGAGATTGCATGCACATGATTTTTATGTGCGAAGCCCAAATATTTCTGTTTTATTGATTTTCAGGCAGAGAGGAGCCCTTTACACTTGCTTCAAAAACCAGTCACTTCGATTATACAGGATTAGAAAATGTTCTGTTGAACAATGAGTCATCATTTGCATTACAGTTATCACGAACTTTGTAAGAAATTTTGTAAGAAATGCGACTAATTCACGAACTTTTGTAAGAAATGCGACTAATTCACAGAATCAGTCGATGAACATTGTTCATTGTCATTATTTTTCTGTTGTTTGCGTCCTTATGTGGGATGCGATTTGCTTAGATAGATGTATTGGTCACGTTTCCCGCTGTGGCACTGCGATGGGCCAAAGTTATCGAAATGAAATCCTTTACCCCTCGTTCGACCTCATGTGAATGCAATTGGTACTGAATTCGTTCTTATGGACAACAATGAGTGGACATAGAAAACTGGTAGAATAACTTACGCGATTACCTAATAACAGAGAGAATTCACCCAATGCAGTGACCAGCGTATTTTCCAGTTTCTTATCATATATATCATATATAAGATGACTCAAAAGAGCAGTGCCTTCACGCCAAACTTCTCCAACGTGCTCTCATACAACAGTAAGAAATTTTTGCCTTCTGACTTCATTCATCATCTGACAGCTGGTGGAGATCATCGTTGTGCAGTCTGAATTGAAGTAAGAGGTGATCATATTCTTTATTAACAAACATTTCTTGTTTGCAAATGTACTGACATTTTGACGATTTTTTTAATTTTATAGAATGTCATACTATACGTTCGAGACCTTTTTTGTTTGTGCTAATAATTGGCAGAGTCCATGGGTGGGCGCCTCTACGTTAAAGCATATGGAGCACATGCAGAGCTGGCCCCGGGCAAGTTTTAGGATGTAGCGAAATTCTATTAAGACGCCCCCTTGGTTTCCCTTAATTTATACCCTTTAATTTTCTTTACCACTGTGGCGCCCCCTAGGACTTAGTGCCTGGAGCGTTAGCTCCGTTCGCCCTATGTCAGGGCCGGCTCTGAGCACATGCCCCCTTTTTTGTTGAGTTGGCCTTTTCCAAATCCCAAAAAAGCCATAAATTTTCATTATCAACAAATAGAATATTGCATGACTTTTAGCAAGCCTATTTTACAAATAAAAAAGAAACCAATGAACGCTATTTGTTTTCAATACTACATGTCATGTTTCAAGGCGAAGCTAACCCCCAGTGAAACCAGCAACATCTTGTATCATAGATATTGAAGCTCTTTGCATAACGTACGATACCCTTTTTTATAGTTTGTGTTCCCATCTTTGATAGTGTGCTGACGCCGTTGGCAAATTCTTATTCTGTTTCTGTAAAATTTAAAATAAATTGCTGTAGTAGTTTCTGATTTGTATCTTATTTTCAATTTTGTGCTTAATTTTTGGAAAAGAAAATATTTTAGGTATTAAAGATTATTTCACGTGTTTTGGTTTCATGCAGGTTAAAGCAGTATACTGTAAATGTTTTTATAACCTTAAGAATTTATTTACTTTATGCTAAAAGTAAACATTTTTGAAAAAATTAAGAAAATATGTCATTAATACAATATAGTGTTTATCCCGGACAAGAAAAATAGATTAAAAAAATTTTACAAACCCCTTTATATATTATTAATTTTATTTTTCCGCGTTTTTGATGGTTTCCATCAATTTAATAATATATGAAAAAAGACAAGTGTTATACACAGATTTACTTGTAAATATGTAAACCTATCCACTTACATCCGAGATACAGGAGGGAAGTTACACCAATCAATCGTGTTAAATCAATAAAGCATGATTACAAAAATTCGAATATGTGTGAACATTGTTTGAAGAACAGTGGTCAGATTAATTTTAATACATCTAGTATAGTCCAATTACAGGGGAGTACGATGAACGGAAAGTTATAAGAATACTTGGAAATAAAAATTTTTTATTATTAATAAAGGACAATGACAGAGTAAATTCACCTGACTCGTAAATTAAAATTTCCACTGATTGAGTTTAAAAGTTCGTTTTGCTGTCGGAGGGAAGGTGAATGATGTGGAAAGAAAACGAATGAAACAATAACAGCAAGGGGTGTGTATAATTAAGATTTGTAACAAAGAGAACACAGGTTAATACCTGTGTTCTCTTTGTTACAAATCTTAATTTGTAACACACCCCTTGCTATGAAGAGAACACAGGTTAATACCTGTGTTTTCTTCAATAATTGAACATATATAAATTAATTATTAAAAATTAAATATATATATATAAATTAATTTAAATAAAACAAATTAATTTAAGTTGCAATATTGAAAATTTCGAGAAGTAAATATTTTGCTTTAAGTAGATTGTAAATTCAATGTAGTTATTGTACGATATATTTAATAGGATTTGTGTTTGTACGTTTTTTAACTTGTATACAATGAACCCACTGTGTAGGGAAATATTGTAATTTCCGAAATAATCTGGGTACAATATACTTGTTGATTTGCGAGTAATTATACAGTTTGTGAATTTGATAATTTCTAAAAAAATAACCGATATTTGAATCCGTTTTTTATTGAGATGGAAAAAACGGAATAAAAGCAAATGAAAAATCAAATTTTCCAACACGTTATTTGCTGAGAATACGTTCAATCGTTCACCAACACTTACGACCCGCTGCACAAATAATTTTCTAATATAAAATACATGTTAACCGTTGTAAATGGAATATTCTCGAAACGGAACCTTTTCAAACCATGAACAAGAAATATTATACGAGTCTTGGAACTTGCTATGAGTTTAAATGAATTAAACGCACTACGAAAACAAAGAAATTGTAACTAAATAAACGAATGTCGAAAAAATAAATAACCCAATCGCAAATATAATGAACAAAACACCCAATTAAAAATTTTAGAAAAAAGTTTTTAAAAACTATGAAAAACAAAGCAGATGAGCCCAGCGTTACTCAGGCAAGTAAGATAATTCTCGTTATAATGAAGAATGACCTTACTTAAAATAAAATGATTAATTTTACATATAAAATCTAAAAAATCTTGTTTGAAACATTATGTTAAGAATTTGGAACGAAAGTATTCGTTCGAATTCGTTTATTTTGGATTCATTGTTTATGAGTTAAACGAAAAGTGTAAATGCTTAAAAGATTTGTTAATTTTCAAAATGTATACTATACGTGCCACTATTTACCTTTCTTTCTATTATTTACAGTTTCTATTATTTATTTTCCGTTGGGTAGTTAAATTTTCAAAAATCTCTTATTAACGTGCATTTCATGGTATACCCTACCAAAATGCAGTCAAAAACGCAAAAAAACAGTATCTAAAATAGCATGAACCCGAGTTCTTCCAGATAATGCTTAACACTCTGCCTCTGTTCTGCGCAAGAATTTCCAAAAAACTTTTATTAGGATGAATTTGCATGGCATACCCTACTAAAACGCATTAAAATAAAAAAAATGCATCTTAAAGAGTACAGTGGAAGGCGAGTTTTTTAAAATAAGCCTTAATCCTCTTTCTCTTCCCCACGGAATAATTTCGAAAAATCCCTTCCTATTGTACTTTCTCGTGACGTATACTGTACAACAAATTTCAACTTTCAACTCCTAACCGTTTGGGATCTGAGCTTATTATTATTGTGTTCAGTTTAGTGAATTATGCTCGGTTGACATGCTATGTACTATCCCGGAGCAGAGTGAGGGAATAGAAACCAAAACATAACTAAAATTAAATAAGTTTGTCACTGTCTGTATTCAAGAATTTCCTAATAGTATGACATGTATTCGATATACGCCGTAATTGCCTTCTGTAGTGTGCTGTAAATCTATTCAAATGTAATGTTCCCAGACTCTTGCGTAGTGTATGTGCTATCACACCCATAGAGGAGAGAACAGCAGGTACAATAAGCACCCTATCCATATCCATCTTCAACAGATGCCTGTTTCCTGGGTAACTTCTGTATACTTGCTAATTAGTTGAATAAATGTGTTTTGTATATTGTGAGTGTTTGAAATGGATATGTCTATAATGTATGTGATTTTATTGTGTTTGTTAGAATTACTGCTTTATGTAACTGTGATGTTTCTTGTCTTTTTAGACAAACTCTCGCAGTGATTGCATTTGTAGGTAGTGAAAGTTTAACTATGTCAATCATGCTACGACGGTCATCTTTAAGTAGAAGAGTTAATCTTTCTGTAGCAGATTTAGGATGATGTAGTTTATTCTTGGTAAGTGTTGTTCTTGTTTTCCTTTGGAGTTGCTCAAGACCTGTGTGAGTCCAAGGTATAACTTTAAAAGAATAAGTGAGTACTGGGATGACATACGCGTTTATTGCTTTAACTGTGTTTTTTGCATATAACTCTGTTCTGAGGATAGGATTTAACCTATTTTGGTATTTTTTAATTAATCTTTGCTTTATTTGTGTATGTTCTGTTAGTTTGGCCAGATGGAATCCTAAATTCTTGTACAATTTGCCCTCTTACATGGATTTAATAACGTCTCCATTTCCAAGTGCAAAATCGTCTTTCTTCAGGATTCCTTTTTCTATGTGAAATGTTTTGCATTTGTCTAGGCCAAACTCCATTTTTATGGCCTTAGTGTATGAACTTGTGATTTGTAGGAGCTGCTGTAGTTGTTTTTGTGTGGATGCATAAAGTTTTATGTCGTCCATGTACATGAGATGTGACAGCGAAAACTGTGTTGTTTTTTCATGTCTGATAATGTAGCCATATTGCGTGTTGTTTCACATGTTGGATAATGGGTTCAGGGCTAGGCAAAACCAGAAAGGACTCAAGTAATCGCCTTAAAAAATTTCTCGCCTAATGAATATTTCGTTTGTTTGTATGGAAGTGTTACTAATCCTGAGATGTAGTGTTGTTCTTCCACTGCTGCATAATGTTTTTATAGAATACAATGAATAATGGATGTATTTTGTATACATGTATATTATGTAGCAGCCAACTGTGTGAAACGCTGTTGAATGCTTTTCTATAGTCTATATAAGACATGTGTATATTTTCTGTATTGTTTGTGTGCTTGTCGTAGAATGACTGAATATATGAGTAACTGTTCTTTGCATACCCTGTGATTTCTACGGCAACCTTTGTGTTGTTCTGTACGAATGTCATGTTCTTCAACATGTTTGTATAGTTTGTTTGTAATGCAGGATGTCAATAACTTTTAGAGTGTTGGAAGACATCTAATTGGTCTGTATTGTGTGGGGTCTGTGGTTTTGTTGTTTTTAAGTTTCATGTAGTTGATGCCCTGAATAAGAAATTTCGGCATGGCTTGTGAATTGATGATGATGTTTGTTAGATGTTTGGCTAGTTCCTAAGGCAGAGATATAAACTTTTTTATCAGAAATTGTGAATGTTATCTAAATCAGCTCTCTTCCAGTTGGGTGTTCTGTTAACAGCGTAGCGAATGTCGTGTATGTTTATTTCAGCACAGGGCATAGTTGGTATGTTGTGCAAGTTTCTGTTCTCCTCTTCAATCCAGCCTGCATCAGCTTTGTGTGTAACAGCATTGGTCCAAAGAAAAGACCAATAAGTTGTGAGTTCTTCTTCTGTAGGTGTGCCACTGTGCTGTGTATCAGTGTTTGCTTTGGTACAGATTTGTCTGTAGAAAAGTTTTCACTGTTTATGAATAATTTATTTTGTTGTTTTCGTAGTGTACTTGTTTTGTATCGTTTGAGTCTACGTGCTTTGGCTGCGAGTTTCTGTTTTAGTGTATCGATGTATTCTGTAATGTGTGTGTTGTGATGTTCATGTTTTGTGTGTGTTTTGATTTTCTTGAAAATGTTTTTGAGTTGTTTGCTTAATTTGGGTGTTATGTTGTTTCTAGTGTATTGTGTCAGCCTGCCTAATTGCTGTCTAATGTCATTTATTTGTGTTTCTATTCTTCTCTGCCAGGCAGGCTTGATAAAATTGTGTTTTGTGTGTGTCTGTCTGCGATTGTATTTTCATTCCATGGTGTGTCATTACTGTGACTGCCCAAGCATAAACTAATGTATGAATGTCTGAGAGTGTAGAAATTGAATGAATGTAGTTTGGTAGTATGTGAGTGTTTACATAATTTAGTGTTTTTCCTACTACCTCTGACGTGCTGATTTTCGGTATTCGTGGTCTTTATGTGGGATCTGTGCCTGTACATTTAGTGAGTGTTTCCTGTAATATAAGTGAAAGCGTATTAACTAATTCTATGTCTATGTTATCAGTGATAGATGAGGAAGTGCCTGTAGTATCATTAGTTGTAGTTGTTGTATGTGTGCTATTATCAATGCTTGTTGCTGAATTATTCTGACAGGTTACGTGACCTTCATTAATGTTAAATGTTTCTGTCTGTTGAAGTATTTAATCAGCAACCTGTTGTTTAATAAGTTGAAGTGTTGTTTGTGGGATAAGATTGCTGTGTATAATTGTTCTTTTTTCATCAACAACCCTTTGTTCGGAGACAGTAAGGTGGAAATATTGTTGTGTGAATCTATGGTGTAGTTGTTGTCTGTACGCTGTCATGTTTATTTCGATTGTTCTGATTGCGTAGTAACTACGGATGATAAACTCGTCTATTTCTATTGGCCATTTCATCCGTTGGCGTGGTTTTCCAGCCTTTGTGGTCTGTGGATGCATTGTCACAGAAACACCAAGGGTAGATTGATTCCTCAAATCTGTTGAGGGCATTGCAGTAGCCATGCTTCGGCCTGCGCTGCTTTTGCCACCAGTAACCAAGGTAGACTGTCGCCTATTTTTCAAACGTGGGCCTCTGCCTAACCCACGAACGCAGACGTTGTTAAACCAGGCGAAGTCAGAGCCGGTATCACACTTTGATCTGGTTACTACCATGATAAATATCTCCACAGAGTGTGGGTGTGGTCACTATTCGCTTTATTTCTCCCTATAGACCTTACTAGCATGTGTGCCCCTACCAGGAGCTTGTGCTCACGCCTATATTGCTCTATAGTTCAGTAAAATTACTGGGCTCTCCCACCACGACCAGTTGGTGACCAAGGAAGAGATAAATTATTATTATTATTATTATTATTATTATTACCAACCCATCACGATTATATACATAGATGATAAATATTTTGTATTATTTGTTTTATTATAATCGATGTAACGTTGGTCAGTAATTAATCAATGTATATATTTTATTATTTCTTATGTTTTTTATACAAGACATAAAGTTTGTCATTCAACACAATTTCGTAAATAAATAAATTTCAACTCTGATTTTAATGTTATTAAAAATAAATTTTAAACCCCAATTTAGAGATTTTTAATCTAACAAAAAGTAGTACCCCATTAGACTTCGATAAACGCTAGGTCTTGAAAAACCTAGATCCTACCCTGCTGATGATGAAACGGTGTTTGATTATATCACGTTTAGAAAGAACAGAAATCCTACACGAACGTTATTTAACATATTATTGCATCAAATGAACATCCGCCATGATTCACGTGCGTATAATATTTACTTTCCAAACATGCTTTATGTAAAATTTCACACAAATTACACACGCTCCGAAATGAAAAGCATGTTTCTAAATATAGTTTTTCGCTTATACAAACAACTATTTTAATTAATATTTGATGTTTTTATCTTCTGGTTAATATGTGGAACGTTTAAATCATAATATATACATAATGGATTCCGTCAGGCCCATAAAGGCGTGTCTACATATGTTGGCCCTCATCTAGCATTTGTGTATCATACATACTAAAAATTTCTTGGTCTGCTCGATGGATTCGAGCCCTGGCATCCCAGATCATTCTGCTAACACATTGGTCATCTTACCATTTCTAATGTCAGCTAATGTAGAATAGATTTCGATTAAATACATGAAATTTTATATATGGTAAATACATCAATTTCATTTCTATTAAACATTATTAAATAATGAAAGATGATTTATTTATTACATTTACAGATACTTTACAATTATATAATTTAAAATAATAATTACCTCAATTTTGAATATAGTTTACTCAAAGCAATTTGTATCGGAAAATAGAGAAATATGACTAAGAATCCAATTAGAATAGTACATCCATAATACTTCCACAACATGGCTATCGCAGTAATAATGAAGAAAGGCGATGTAAATAAAACAGGAAGGCTGATAACTTTCTGTAATAAATGAAGTGTTTCATTTATACCGATAAATAACTATTAAATCGATTAAAATGAATATAAATTTAAGAATAATTATTTCGGACGTCATAAAGTATTGTATATCATGGACATATTAAGTATAAACGAGCTACTTTTGCTTTTGCATTAGATTATTATTTTGGCAGCTACACTATCTGAGTGTCGCAGATTATTGAAAATGGCGGATTACTCGTTGTTTTTATATTATCGAAAAATTCAAAGTTACTTTTCTTATGAATACAGCAAACATTTCTGTACATTTTATGTTTATAATACCAATCAGAAACCGTCAAGTTCAACAGCAATTCCGACAGAATATTCTGATACCATGGAACCGTCTAGTCCAGTGTTTCTCAACGGGGGCGATATCGCCCCCATGTGGGCGTTTTTTCATGTTGAGGGGGCGATTTGTAAACATTTTTTATTTTGGGGGCGAAAAACACTTTTCTGGGCGATATAGTAAAACATTATATTAAAATTAATTAAATATTTTATTCGTTATATCGTACAATAATTAAACAAATAAGATTATACTAGTCACTAGTCTATTCAATGCAGTACAAATTTGGCTTTAGCCCTGCCCAAGGCATCGGAATTTTGAAGTGAAGGGGGCGATACTACGTAACGGTTTTATTGAAGGGGACGATACTACGTTGAAGGGGGCGACGATTCGTTAGAGGTTGAGAAACATTGGTCTATTCCAACAAACTAAGCAATTCAATCAGAATAGTTTCGCACTTAGACCTGTTCAAAGAGTACCAGTTCCCAAGAGAGAGCTGTACTTTTCTCACCTGTAATCCAGAGTTCGAACATTATGTAATATCGTCTCATCATTTAAATAGGTTCAATATTTTATTTTTTAAAAATATAAACTTTTGTCAAAAAAATAAAAATAAAAATAATATACATAACTAGCAGGTAGACCCGGCGTTGGTCGGGCAAATGTAACGATAGCGAAGATTAAGATTATCACGTTATAGTCAACATTACCCGTTTTCACAAAATGCAAGAATTGGGTCTCCCGTTTCCAGATTAATTAGAGAATTTTTAGATGGTTCTAAAAATATCTTCGATTTCCTGCAAAAACGAAAAAACTTCACTTTCTCTTAAAACGTCGCTTTCTCTTAACAATTCCATTGTAACGTAACACTTGCATTGTTGACACGTCCATTGTTGACACTTCCATTGTTACTTAACACTTCTATTGTTGATGGAAGTGCTAAGCTTAATACTCTCCTCTCCCCCCGTGGGGGAAATTTCGAAAAATCCTTTCTTAGTGTGTGTTTTCGTGACGTACCCTAACTGTGTACCAAATTTCAACTTTCAACTTCTAACCGTTTGGGCTCTGCGCTTATTATTCGATTATATATATAGATGAGCAGAGTGCCCCAAAAGGCATTTCGCGAAACGTAGCGTTTTTAACTGAAGTGAAACATATCGATAAAAATCGATATCTGCGGAACGGTTT